CCACACCCAGGCCACTCCACCCTGCTAATCTCTGCTCACTGGGCAGTGAATCAATGAGGGCTGATCCTTTCCAGAAAACTCATGGGATCCACAGAGCGTGCTACCTGTCTACCTGTGGGGCAGGTCCTGGAACATCCCGAAGACGTGCCTTAGAGATCATCCCAGGAAACCCCATCACCAAAGCCAGGTTTCTGGTCTTTGCAATGAAATAAATGACCCTGGAGCATCTAATCTTCTCTCCCGTGGGCCTGAATCATTGAGCAGTTCAAAGCCTAATATCTGCTCCACTTTATTTTAGAGTGCATGTTGATATTAACAGGTCACATGCAGATGTATTAAACAAAGGGTCTTAAACGAAGAAAACATTAGACTGTTGTACAAAATTATTTCACTTTTTTTTTTTTCTTGAAGTGTAAACCACCCCAGGGGAAGCTGCAACCTAGTTATATCAGCATCACAGTCTCAAAAAAGAACAAATGTAATAGTTTGATATTTGATAAACTAACAGGCTAAGCATCCCCTACATCTGTATTTTTAAAACTGTCTTTTAAAATTGTAAGAACAATTTATAAATAAATGATATTTCATATAGAAATATTTAACTCTAGTACTCTACAAGAATTATACATTCTGGTGAGCTGTTAATCATGATAAAAAGTTAAATGTTAATCATGATAAGAATGTCAGCCCAAACAAAGAAAAAATAAATACGTACACACTGACCATTTCCTCCTAAGAGTCACTGAGAGTGTTAGACTGTGACTCTTTCTTACGTGGTCATCTTCATTTATTTATTTCATACTTTACCAGCTAACAGGAAATCTACTGTGACACTATATCCTTCAGTGCGGCTGTCACAGTGTCTTTCGGGTGTTGTTTTATTCTCCTTGTTTTATCTCAACACTCCTTGTTGCTTCTGCATTTCTTGTTTTGTTTTTAAAGAATAATGGTATTTGAAACACTATCACATTTAAAAACAAAGCTGAAAACTACAGAGTGAAGCTCAGTTTTTATTGCTGCGGAATTTCTGATTCAACAATGGATGCATAATGGAAACCACCCTCAAGCCAGGTTTAGCATCTGTGGCAATGCTCTGCTCAGACTTAACTCACAGACTTTTGAATAGTTTGCAAAATTTTCCCCTTGTTTTTCAATGTCTAGGAAATTTATTTTAAAATTAGGATGATAAATAAAGACTTGAAAATGCTTCCATGCTTTTATTTTCAAGGTGCTTAAAAGTTTGGCCAGTAGGCTTTGAATCAACTAAAATAGAAGGCCCATATAGGTAGGGATTTTTTGTCAATTTTGCTTACTGATAGTTTGGCATCTTGGAAGTGCTGAGCACATGTGTATGTATGTCCAATACACCCTTCTTGAGTGAATAAATCAATTACAGAATTTATCAGTCAAAGAGAAAATAAAAAGTCTCTTCTTAATTATAATGATGGCTAGTTAAATAACCCTAGCCAGATTCTATTTGTCCTTCATCATTTGCATCGTAAATACTTATAGTGCACCAATTATTCTCAAGAACCGAGGTTGGGTGCAAGGATAACAAAATGAATCAATAAAGCTGTGAGCCCCGGAGTGTATGCCCTGTGCCGTGACAGGATAATAAGCAGGATGAAAGCTGCATGAACAAGATGCTAAATAAAATTAGAGCCTCAATATTTCTTACTGCATCACCAATTTCACATTTGATTATGCAAATAGAATGTTTTCCCCGTGTAGTCACCTATGAATCATTTTATAGGCCACTTAGGTGCTGGTTCAAATATTAGAGGGTGATTTTTCAAATGTAAATAGCCTAAAATGGATAGTAGAGCTTGACTCCACGCTCTTGAATTACAAACTCATCTAGCTAAGTCAGGACCAAATTTACTTCTGCACCGGAAACTTCCTGCTGGTGTCCATTAGCACAGCCCACACGGGATGAGCAATGTTTCTTATGAATTCACTATAGTTCCTGGTCACTAATCATAAGGAGATCACCACAGTTTCTATTTCTACGGTGGAATATGCGTAACTCCAACTCACTTCATCAGACACACCACCATGATAGACTCTTCCTTATGCCTTGCTTAAAATTTCCCTGACATCAATGACAGAAGTTCTACATCTTCAGGGCTCAATGATCTAAGGTGGATTTAACATTTAAAGAAAATGCAAAGTTGACCGTCAATACCATCCCTTCTTCAACAAATCCTGCCAATGAGTGAGACGCATCCCTACACCTGGAAGGCAGGAGGCAGGAGGCTCATACAGGAGATAGCTCACTGTAATGTCAGGTCTACTGAAATGCCCACTTTGGAATGTTCTACCACTGAGATCCTTTAACCCTGAGATTCTTAACATCATTATAACAAAAGTTTCTGTGCTATGCCACTGGGAACAGCAACATTCACATGAGCCATTCTTTCAGAACTTTCAAGTTAAAAAACCACCTCCCAAACATCTCATTAAATTTCTACAATTTGGTAAAGCTCAAGAGACCTGGATAAAGAGTTGCCTAAAGTCACAGGAAGTTGTTCCACTAACTTTCAATCTAGTGACCTTTCTCTTATGCAAAGATTTCATTTGTAGATAAGCATAAAAAAGTAGAAGAGGTTTGTATACCGTTTTCCTCTTCTTTGTCTGACCACCATCCCTCCTTTTCTACTGTAGTGAATTTTTACTGTTCCATTTTCCATGCACCTACAGGGAGACCTCCTAGTAAATCTGCTGAAAACTCCACTGAACATTTTGCTATTACTATATAAAATTGAGTTTTACAAATAATATAAAAGGAAAATTCACCAGCCCACAACCTTCTTATAGTTATTAGGTATCAAAAGACTTTTGTCTCTCAAATCTTCCTAATAAATCCAAAATCAATAAAATAAATCACTCAGTTTATCAATAACTACTATAGCAATCAACATCAAAAAAATGAGAGAGTAGTGATACCCAGATTATATACTATTTAAGAGTTTTGTAGATTCAAAAGCCTGGTCACTAAAAGTTATAAATAAGGGGGAGATGGAAAAAAATCTGCTATCAAAAAGCATCCAAATTTAATGTAATGGAAGTTGTATGATTTTCCCTGGAAAAGTTTCCAAGTCTGGAAGTTTCAAAGCAATTGTCCTTGGAACTAAGTCAGTAATGTCACAAGGTGAGATTTTTTACTTAACTGAAGATGCTGCATTAAATAAATCCATTTGCATTTGATACACATGTATTAAGGAAATACATCAAATAAGGATAACATCTCAACTTTTCAAAAGGGAAAACATGCCCAGATATTTTTAATATATTAATATTTAACTAGGAACTCTACTGAACATTCTGTTTCAAATTTCACAAGTTAAAACTGGCAAAATCAACAGTCGCATCAGAGGTAGGTAAGACTGTGCTGAAGAAGAGTAATCATAATAACCACAGTAGTGGCGATGTTGTTTGTAGCAGACGTGAATCACGTACTACTGTGTCTTGCAGAGTGCGGCATCTTATTTAACAGGCATGATCGTTCTGACAGTATACTGTTCCCATTCCAAAATAAGGAGATTTAGTAAAGTTAATTTACCCAATATTCAGCCAGTAGATGATAGAAAGTGTCATGCAGAGGTGATAAAATTTTAAATACAATGATCTTCACGGTAGATAAAAGTGTCAACTTTGAAAACCCCTAAAAAATATAGTGATACTTTCCTAACTATGACTGGCTACTAAGGAAAAGTCAACATGGCAGGAGAGTTAGCTGAAGTTTAAGTGCTCAGAGACAAAACTGCACTAAGGTCAAGATCACCTTATAATTATTTGTACAATTGCTTAATATAATAATGCCCACTTATTAACATTTCTTGTGTGCCATGCTCAGTATTAAGCACTCTTTATAAATTAGCTCATTTAATTTTCACTGTGGCTCCAGGATTCATGGCCAAAGGGTAACAGAGTCAAGGAATCCAAGTGGAGAACCGATTTGTTCAGAGCCCAGGTTCGCAGGCACTGTGCCATAGCAGGGCTCTCCACACACCAGTCTTTCCAGGTTCCTGTCACCAAGCCTGGATTACAGATCACTCTGGGGTCTCCCTCCCTCCCAAGTGCACACAAAAGCTTCAGAACTTGTTTAACATCATGGATGATTATGTATCTCAAGAGATCTAGTCTCTCCCCTAAATATTCAGCCTCTGAGTTATGTCTCAGAGGTCTTGTGTCAGGGCTTCAGTCTCAGATCTTTGAGACACAGAATAACTAGCATGTTTGAGGAGACCTTCAATTGATCTTTCTTATCCTCTGGGCACCCATGTCATGTCCCTGTTTTCATTCCTCAGCTTCTGTTCTCAGCATGAACTTTGCAAAGTATGCAGTCACCTTTCACTCATCTTCTTCTCTCTGAAGTGACCCTGCAGAAACTACTCCTCCTCTGCCATAGATTCTAGGTGACTGTCCTTTCCCAGACTGAATTCTTTGTTTGGATAATTAACTCTTGACAGGAGCCCCTAGCAATTTAGTATATTGCACAGAAAATTGTGAAGCTGAGGACGAGATGTTCAGAGGTAAACTTATGTACACTTGCAAAACCTGTAAGGGAAACTCAGTTGGAGAAAAATTTGCATACAGATAATCACAATAGGTACATTTTCATCATAAGCAATTTCAAGGAGATGACTCTCCATTTTACAGCTATTGATTTTATAGCAGCTAAAACAACACAGACTAGCAATTACAGGTTTCACAGAACTGTACCACAGTTATTTTCAAAAACAAGTATGCTTGTCATGAAATTACATGAAATGCTAACTCCCTATGCTTTACGCAAGTAATAAAGACAACTTCAAATACATCAGTATATACCTGGCTACTAATGAGCATCACAATTAATGTTCCAGTGACTTTCTGGGAGAGCCTATTTTCCCCTTCATCATGTACTTATTCTTCTAATAAGTTTCCAATTTATAAGAAAACAGGAATGTGTGAAAATAGGCCATGACAGCAAGAAGGAAATGTATTATTCCACTTACCAGTCCTCAGGAGTCAAGTGCTGTTTCCTCCACAAGAGCTCCATCAACCTGGGATTACAGCTGAGCAAAGTGGACAGATGCCGGCCCTTTCAGGAAAGTGTTCAAAGCAAAGGTCTCAGCGACGATCACTTGAAGGGCCTCAAAGTACTGCTCAGCCTTTGCTAAAACACAGGAGACAAAAATAAGAAACTGTTAATAGAGTTGTGTCAATAGTGTTCAGTATTATTTATATTTATCACAGGGCTAGTAGCTTTATTTGTATCTTTTGACAAGTGGTTCAGAGGCAGGCTGCTCTAGTCACCAAGAGTATGAACTACATAGTAAGTAAAACGCAGGTAAACACACAGCAGTTCCAGTACCCCATCCTGTGGAATTCCTGAAACTCTGGGTAGTATTCAAACCTGTAAATACTGTGGCTTTTCCTTGAACATACAAAGTATGGTATAATTTACTTTATAAATTAAGTACAGTAAAAAATGTACAACAACCACTAATAAAATTGGACAATCACAATAGAACAATAAAAAGTGTTAAAATTGCCAAGATCTCTACTCTTGCACTTTAAGGCCATTATTAAGTAAAATAAGGGTGACTTGAACACCCATTGTGACAAAGAAACATTTTATCTGAAACCCAACCTATCTCCAAAGTGCCTAGCAGGTGAGTAGTATACACAGTGTGGATACTCTGGATAAAGATGATCCATATCCCATACAGAGCTGAGCTAGTGGCACAAGATATCATTACATTCCAGAACATAATGTGCAACTTAAAACGTACAAAGTAACTCATTTCTAGAATTTGTCATTTAATGTTTTTATGCTATATTTGAGAACGAATATTTAAAACTGCTGAAAGTGAACCACAGATAAGAGAGAACAAGTGTACATCATAAAATTAAAAGAAAAGAGAGAGTAGAGGTTGGAGTCAGATGATCACTGTTCATGTCACAGTCCGGAGGCCAACCCAGCTTCTTGGAGCACACTATATACACCCTGCCAAAGACCAAGATGAGAAAAGGGAAGGCCACATGTCCTCGACCATGTTCAACAAAGAGCGCTCACACACTACCCCACCCCACCCCTGTTTTATCTGCTGTTGTTATTGGTTAAAACTTAGGAAGAAGACAGAGAGCAGGCCAATTTGTAAGCACACAGTGTAAGGCACAGTGCTTAGACATTATCTCAATCGCCAGGTGAGATGTCACCATTTCTGTTTTATAAATGAGGAAACCGAGAATCAGGTCACTGGAATTTGCCAAAGTCAGACAGTAAGAGTGGAACTGGGACTTCAGCCATATCTGTCTGACTTTCAAAGTCTATGTTGTCTCTGGTCTTTTTCATATTCAAGGAAGATATAGTAACTTTTAGAATCTGCTGGTTAATTTCCACAAAAAGCCTGCTGTGATATAATGGGGTCACGCAGTTTCTGCAGATCAGTTAAGCATTCCATGAGGATAAATGAAAGATCTAAAATAAATAAATTCAGGAGTTTCTGGCTGAATAAAATGACTATATATGGGAGGAAATATTAAAGACAAAGGATAGAAATTAATGATTAAAAAATCAGAAAACAGTCATTTCATTAATCAATACTGTGGATTTTTGAACAATAAATAAACTGTTGGTTAACTTGATCAAGAGAAAATGGGGTGGATAGGAGTGGCAAAATTCTACAACATGAGAAACGACAGGAGGAATTAAATTTCAAAATAAAAATAATCAAGACAAAAGGGACAATTGTTCCAGAGAAACACATGGCTTCCCAACAGGAATATGTTACTGTCATACACAAAATAAGTAATTTTACATGCATTAGAAAGTCTTAATAAAATTTGACATTCACTCACTATAAAGATACTGAAGAAAACAAATGTAATGGATACTTTCTTAGCAAGAAAAAATATATGCTCCTGAATCCTAAGTCCATCTTCATTAGAATTGCTATACAATATGATACAGGGAAATACAACTAATAATGACATTACCTCAAACAATAAAAGAATTTAGTAAGACAACAAGATACAAGGTTAATATTTAGAAATTAGTATTCTTCATATATATTGTACTACAAAGAAATAACCACAATGAAGTGTCTGAGAAAAGACTGAATCAATCTAAGTAATTTTCAGAAGCAGTACTGAGACCACATACCCTAGTTAAAGACAAAGCCAACTGTCTGGACACACTGCAGTCTGTCTAAAGACTTTCACAGTGGTTTGAAACTGCAGTTGTGAGATTTTCCTCTATACATCTGAGGACTGGACAAAGGATTACATATGCTGATCATTCTGAGAACAAAGTGTCTTAGTGTTAAAAAGAGGAGGAAAGGAAATTAGCTAGAATAAGCCCTGTAATACTGAAGTAGAAAAGGATATATCAGCATAAACTCAAGAATATGTGTGCACAGATGCATAAAAAAATACAAAATAGATACAGAAGAGCACTCATGTGAGTATGAATATATACACGTATTTCTCTCATAGCCATGCAAAGAAAGGAAAGACCTAAAATCAATGTGGGAAAAAAAGGAGCTAGGAGAACACCCAGCATTCAAGTCCTGATTATTAATCACATTTCTTCAGTATATTTTGAAGGTGCCACCAATAGCCAAGTCTACAACAATGTAAAAAAAAGAAAAAAGAAAAAAGGCGGCTGCGGATTTAGCTCAGTGGCATAAGCGCCTGTCTGGCAAGCATAAGGTCGTGAGTTCGATCCTTGGTACAAAAAAAAAAAAAAAAAAAAAAAAAAAAAAAAAAAAAAAAAAGCATACAATAATGTCAACAGCAGGTAAGGATCTAATAGCAATGGGGTTTCTCCATGGAGTAACATCTTCACATCTGTAGTACGAATGAGAAATTAAGTGAACCAATAAGGATGAGAAAATATCCTTGGAGAATTCAAATTAAAAACTATGGGTGGAGCTAGAAAAATCACAGTCCTGCAAACACTGTAATATTAACTGTTTCAAAAGCAAAAATTGTTGATGGAAGTTAAAATGAATGGGCAAAAATAAATAATAAAAGGATACGGGCACCCTCTCAAATTGCCTCCTTCAAAATACTTATTCAGTACAAGAGATAAAAATGTGAATTATTGGAGGAGGGATTGAAAGACTCCACCCTGGTCAATTGGGAAAACTTCAGTCAGTGGCTATGAGCCCATCTACACCGTGTATCTCCTAAACCAAAAGTCACACCGCAGCTTCTGCAGCACTCAGACAAAAGTGAATAATTGAATTTAATAAGAAACCCAAACAACTGTCCACCTCTCTTCAACACTATCAAAGTCATGAAAGATAAAATGTAAAGAGTTCTTTGATTCAACAGAGAATAAAAACATGGCAAGTAAATGCAATAGGTGATCCTGGAGTTGATCCTGAACCAGAAAAACAACTTCTGGAAAAATCTGAAAAAGGTTTATACATTGTACCACTACTGATTTCATAATTTTGTAATTATGCCAGCTATATAAGATGCTGACTCTTGGTGAAGCCAGGTATTAGGTTGATAGGAACTCTATATTTTTGAAGATTTTTTTAAAGTTTCAACTTATTTCAAAGTGATAGTATAAAATCATTTTTAAAAATACATTACAAAGAATCATAGTCGGGCATGGTGGCTCACACCTGTAATCCCAGCACTCGGGAGGCTGAGGCAGGAGGATTGTTCGAGACCAGCCTGGGCTACACAGTGAGCTCAAGGCCAGCCTGAACTGCACAGTGAGACCCTGTCTCAAAAAGATAAAAAAAAAAAAAAAAAAAGAATCATAAACTCAATTCAAAGAACATAAGTGAGTGGAAGAAAGGGTTCATAATAAGTATATAAATCAGTTGAGTTTACAAAAGATAAATATGTAATGGCAAATAAAAAAACAATTATCCTGAAAGATTTTTTCCAGAAATCCTTAATAAGACTAATGAAGAATAAAAAGAAGACAGAAATCTAGCAATATTACATGAAATTGAGGGAGTCTCTGCTGTCAACCAAAAATGAGCTGGGAGAGATCTGCACCTCCATTTCTGGCTGCTGGGCTCCAGGTAAAGCAACTGTGACAACAGGGGTCAACAGGTGGCAACTTAGAGAAACCAGTGTTGTGCTTGGGGACAAGACACAGGGGACAGAAGCTTCTTTTTCTGCTTCCTTTTCTTTTTTTTTTTTTTTTTTTTTTTTTACTTTTTTTCTCTTTTCTAAATGGTTAAGGAGAACTCCATCTGCAGAACTCACATTTAGATAACCCCTTGCTTCCTCCTTCGTTATTTCTCTGATGCCCTCTTCTCTAGATTACCAAGCTTCTGTGATCATCCCTTGTCCTCCAGCCTTGTTTCTAAGTTACCCCACCACAGAGTAAAACCATTCTATCAAGGGGAATTGCTTTGCATTCAAGCTCCCAATTCACAATCAGTTGTTACATACTTGTAAATTTGGCCCTATGGTTTAAGGTAAAAAATTAATAATTACCACAGTTTATCAGTTTCCAAATTGTGCTTTATGCTACTGTTATTACTAATTATACTACTTAAACTAGGATATTGTATCTATTGTAATAAGTTGTTCTTCCTTCTGTCATAATACAGGGAAGCTCTGGAGTAATAACCACAACCCAGCACCAAAGGACTGGGGACTGAGCCAAAATAATATAAACATCTCACTCTTAATTAACATGGAAGGTAGGATCTTGGGACAGACACAAACTAAGAATCTTCAATGCACAGAAGACAACCTTGAAGAATAGACTTTCCCTAGAGAGGTCTTGATAATAGTGATATAGCTACTACTGCAAAAAACTTACATGGATCAAAAGAGAAAACAAAATAGAAATTTTTGAAATAAAAAATGACAAGATTCAGAAGCAAAATGCAATCTCAGACCTCCAAGAACCAGTCTAGGAGACAAATCCAGGAAGATGGAAGACACACACCTGAAATTTCTGAAATGCTAGCATGTGAAGTAAAGAACAAATCTATAAGGCTATAGAGGAACTCAGATCAGAAATAATCTCTCAGGTAAAAAAGGAAATGACAATGATCATAAAGGAAATGTTCAGCAAATCTAAAGTAAAGATAGATTTTTTAAAAATAGAGGACTGGAGCTGGGGATTTAGCTCAGTGGTATAAGCGCCTGCCTGGAAAACATGAGGTCATGAGTCTGATCCCTAGTACA